AGGTTCCTCTTAATGGGGCCGACACACAGAAGCTGCACATCCGCGGGCGCATGGCCGGAAACCCTGCAGCTGTCAGCGAAGCCCTAGCGCTGGGCGCCCACGCCCAGGCGTCCCACGGCCAGAGACACTGGTGGCATCAACTCCTCCACAGAGGCCCCAAGGGAACCCTGGGATGGACCCTCAGGCGAACACTGTCCTTCTAAAGAGAAGATACAAACGTGGCTTCCCCACCTGTCCCCAATAGTCCTGTTTAGAAAACATCCTCACGCTGTTAAGATGGGAGCTTTATTTCCATTGAAATCTCTGGCATTTAAACTTGGGAGGGAATCCGGAAGCGGCGTCCACCAACGGGGAACAACCCCAGAGAGCACGCAGGACGGGCCTACGAGCTCCCGGGAGCCAAGGGAGCTGGAGGGTCTGGGGGTTTGGGGGGTCTGAGGGGTTGGGGGATCTGGGGGGGTCCTAGGGGGTTGGGGGGTCTGGGGAGGTTGGGGGCCCCGGGACACCTGCAGCGCCCCCCAACCCTGTGCGCTGGCCCAGCCAGGAGAGGGCCCGGGGACACCGACAGGACCCAAGCCTTTGATGAGCGGATGGACGCACCCAGTTCCTTCGGGGAGCTCCTTTAAAGGTGTTCGCCGAAAGCTGCGAGAGCCGCGGGACGCACAGAGCGGTCCTTTTCCTCCGAGGGTGGCTCAGAGGCAGAGTCCCGGAGAAACCCACGCGCCCGGCCTGTGCGGCAGCGACGTCACCCGGACCCCGGGACCGCCGAGACTCACGGGGGAGCGTCCTGAGGCCGCAGGGCCCTGGCCCGTCCGAGATGCGGAACCCCGGGAGCCCTCTGGGTCCCAGCCGTCCTAGCCCTGCACCCGAGCCGGGGTCTCTCCCGCCGCTCTCCGACCCCGGCAGCCGAGGTCCCAGCACAGGCGCCGGCCGCGGACCTCGGGCGCATTTGGCGGCGGCTCGCGAGGCGCTCGGGGCGCTCCGTGGGTCTGGAGGGCGAGGGCTCCGCGCGCCCGCGGCCAAACCTGGTGCAGACGAAGACGAAGACGAAGCCGAAGCCGAAGCCGAAGCCGAAGCCGAAGCCGAAGCCGAAGCCGAAGCCGAAGCCACCGCCCCGGCCGCCCCCAAACGCTCCGCCTCCGCCTAAACCTGCGGAACACTAAGGACGCCGACTCTTGGGCGGTCGCCCGGGAGACCCCGACGACGCCCCGCCCCGTCTCCCGGCAACGCCAAGCAGCCGGCGCGCGAGGAATCCTGGGGAATGTAGTCCCTCCCTATCGGGGGGTGGCCCGAATCGTACGCCGGGTCTTCCAGGACTACATTTCCCAGGGCGCTCCGCGCCCCGCCCCGGCACCCCACCCACGGCCTCGCGCGACGGTACCACCGGGCGAGGGCGGCTCTCGCGCGGGCCTCCGGGAGTTGTAGTTTTCTGTGGGAGCTGCGGGGCCTGGCGCCGGGGCCGGGGAGGAAGAAAGACTACAAGTCCCAGGGGGCGCGGCGCCGCCGCCTGAGGGCGGGGTGTACGAAAGAGAAACTCGGAGGCCGCCCGGGTGAGTGAGGGGCTGGGGGCGGGCGTGAAGGCAGCGGGTGGGGGCGCCGGGGTCCGTCTGGGCGGCTGGGTTGGCGCAGGGAGCGCGAGAGGCAGACAAAGGTCGGCGGCCCCGGCCCGGCCCGAGGGACGCCCCCTGCACGTCCCCCATCGTTCAGCGCGCGGAGAAGCCGTCCGCGCCTGGGCCCGCGTCCTCGTCGCCGCCTCCCAGCAAGCCTGGCCGCGTCCTGTTGGGGAGAGGCGCCCAGGCCGAGCGGGACGCCTGGGGAGGGGAAGGGGCGTCTGAGGAGGGAAGGGGGAGCCCAGGGAGGGGCGGGGAGGGGGTCCCTGGGGAGGGGAGGGGCTCCCGGGACAGGGGAGGGGGTCCCTGGGGAGGAGACAGGACGGGCCCCCGGGAGAAGAAAGGGGGCGCGCTCGCCTCTCCTTCCCCGCAGCCGGGAGTGGGGGCCCCGGCGGTCCCCGGTGTCCCAGAAGTCGGCCACGATTCGGGTCTTTTTCCCGCGAGGCTTTGGGATTTGTTTTTGTCCGTTTGTCACCTGCAGTAGCCGAGGGCTAGTGGGGGGGCAGTTTTTCAGGAGCGCGTCGTTGTGGTGGCAGCGAGTCGATGTTTGAGTTTGGGTGTAATTTAAGCCCAGGTGTTCAGGTGCATTTGTTACCACGTTTCAAAGCAAACGCGGCTTCTTCCCTGGGAAACTACTTTGTGACTGAATTCTTACCCGCCTCGTCCTGTTAAATTTCAGGATGTCAAACTTGGCACCCTGTTTCTGGTTTTCGTTTTTCTTAGTATTACCACAGTGTGCAGAGAAGGCAGAGCTGCGTCTTCCTCTTTTATTTTTCCGTAGGTTACTGCTCAGGTGGTTTGGTTACATGGGTAAGCTTTTTAGTGGTGATTTGTGAGAGATTTTGGTGAACCTATCACCCGAGCAGTACAAACTGCAACCTATTTGTAGTTTTTTATTCTTCGCCCCCTCCCACCCTTTCCTCCAGAGTCCATTGTATCATTCTTAGGCGTCTTCCCGTTTCCTGATGGCTTAACCTGGGAAACCCTCGTCCTCGCAGAGGGTGCCGGTTCCGAGCCCCGGAGTAGGGGCAGCCGCCCGGGATGTTCAGTGATGAGCCCAATTACTCAGGTTTCTGTTCCCCGTTTGCGTTCAGCCAGGATGCGTCATGGCCACGTTGTTTTTAACGTACATGTTTATGAATTATACAGAAACGTTCTTTTCCTGACACACACACATCCTGCCCCCAGTACTCCTCCTAAAAGCCGGTCAGGCAGGTGTCTCCACGCGCAGTCACCTCAGCGCTGGGGTCCACGGGCAGCATCCCGGGAACCCGAGATACCTCCCAGCCCCTCCCTGCCTTGCCGCTGCTCCCCACCTTAGCTTTGACTTATTGGGTAGCTCATTTAAAGAACAGCTGTGGGTGCTGGGGTGTGAGATCACTTGAGACCAGCCTGTGCAACATAGGGAGACCCCGTCTCTATAAAAAATACAAAATATTATCCAGGCATGGTGGCAAGTGCCTGTGGCCCGTTAAAGTAGGTTGCTAGTCAGACATGAGCAGGGCAGAAGAGGGCCCCTCTACCAGGGACATTTGGCTGGTCAGTGAAGGCGGCCTTGGCCGGGCGTGGTGGCTCACACCTGTAATCCCAGCACTTTGGGAGGCCGGGGGTGGGGGGTGGTGGTGGTGGGCGGGTCACAAGGCGAGGAGTTCGAGACCAGTCTGGCCAATATGGTGAAACCACGTCTCTAATAAAAATACAAAAATTAGCTGGGCGTGGTGGCCTGCGCCTGTAGTCCCAGCTATTCGGGAGACTAAGGCAGGAGGGAATTGCTTGAACCCGGGAGGGGTAGGTTGCAGTGAGCCGAGATCGCGCCATTGCACTGCAGTCTGGGTGACAGAGCGAGACTCTGTCTCAAAAAAGAAGGCCTAGAGGGAGCGTGGGCACAACTCCAGTAAACTCTGCGCATACTTCCTCCCAAGTGCTGGCAGCCGTGCGTGAGGATGGCCTACCCCGAGGGAAGAACTGGGAGAAGTAACACACCCCGGAAGCCTGCCAGTAGAAGACCCTAAGTCAAAGGTCAAACCACGCACTTGATCTCTCAGGTCCCCCGCCTGGCCCTCTTCCAAGGGTGCTTTACTTCCTTTCATTCCTGCTGTAAAGCTTCTTCATAAACTGTTGCTCCTGTTGTAAAACTGCCTGGGTCTCTTCTGCCTCCTGCCGCTCAAATTCTTTCTTCGGAGGAGGGAAGAATTGAGATTCACTGCTGCTAACGTGCTTTGGTGTCAGAAGTGGGATATGTTCTGCCACTAACAGTCCCAGCTACTCGAGGGACTGAGGCAGGAGGATCACTTGAGCCCCGGAGGTGGAGACTGCAGTGAGCCGAGATCACAACGATGCACTCCAGCCTGTTTCACAAAGAAAAGAAAGAGCCACCGCTTCTCACCACTCCGGCTGAGGATTGTGTGTGCTGAGATGGAGCATGGAGCTCCGGTGAGCCCGCAGAGCTCTGTTACCTGGAGAATGTATCTGAGTCGCGGCACCAAAGTATATCAGCAGCGGCCTCAAATCTCGCCGCTTCAGAAGAAAAAATTTGGTGGAAGGACATGAGGCAGAAGGAGAGACTGAGGCAAGTTTTAGAGCAGGAGTGAAAGTTGAAGCTTTAGAGCAGGAATGAAAGGAAGTACCCTTGGAAGAGGGCCAGGCTGGCACTGTGAGAGATCAGGTGCGCGGTTTCACCTTTTGACTTGGGGTTTTAGACGCTGGCAGGCGTCTAAGGTCTTGCACCCCTTCTTCCCTGATCCTTCCTCAGGGTGGGCTGTCCACCCACGCAGCAGCCTGCTGCAGGTGGGAGGGAGCATGCGCGGTGTGGTCCCTGGAGGGAGGGAGCATGCACGGTGTGGTCCCTGGAGGGAGGGAGCATGCGCGTTTTCCCTGAGGGAAGGAGCATGCGCCCTGTGTTCACTGGAGGGAGGGAGCATGCGCCGTGTGTGCCCTGCTGGAGGGAGAATGCGTCGTGTGCGCCCTGCGGGAGGGAGCATGCGCCGTGTGGTCCCTGGAGGGAGGGAGGGAGCATGCGCGGTGTGGGCCCTGGAGGGAGGGAGCATGCGCGGTTTGGGCCCTGGAGGGAGGGAGCATGCGCGGTGTGGTCCCTGGAGGGAGGGAGCATGCGCCTTGTGTTCACTGGTGGGAGGGAGCATGCGCGGTGTGTTCACTGGCGGGAGGGAGCATGCGCCATGTGGGCCCTGCTGGAGGGAGAATGCCTCGTGTTCGCCCTGCGGGAGGGAGCATGCGCCGTGTAGTCCCTGGAGGGAGGGAGCATGCGCGGTGTGGTCCCTGGAGGGAAGGAGCATGCGCTGTGTGGTCACTGGTGGGAGGGAGCATGCGCGGTGTGTTCACTGGAGGGAGGGAGCATGCGCCGTGTGTGCCCTGCTGGAGGGAGCATGCGCCTTGTGCGCCCTGCGAGAGGGAGCATGCGCCATGTGGTCCCTGGAGGGAGGGAGCATGCGCCGTGTGTTCACTGGAGTAGTGCTCATGCTCACCTGAGGCGTTCTTCCCTTGCCTGTCAAACGTCCCTGGAAGGTCATAGACCAGTTACACGCCGCCATTTTGCCTCTCAGTGCACACGCCACCGGTTTCGGGTGTTTTCTAGCTATTGGGAGCTGCCTTTCCCTGGCGCTGGCTGCGACCAGTTCTTTTAGAGAGACAGTTAACAGCCACCTGACCATCACCTGATGCTGGCCTGACTTTCCTGGTGGGGGGTGGGCCCGATCCTGCCCTGCTCCACCTACGGCAACAGCCCGACTCGGGTGTGCTGAGCCCAGGGGTAGGTGGGCAGCGTCTACCGTGCACCTCAACAAAGGGGGTGTCTCCTTCACAGCCCATCAAGGGGTTCGCGGTATTTGTTTTCCATCAAAGCAGGAGAGGGGATCTTTAGATAGAGACGCCTGCGTTTAAGGCCCCCAGACAGTTCTCACTGGGCCCTTAAAGCTACGTTTCACGTTGGCTTCCTTTGCTTGCTATGAAGATGACCGGCATTAGCTACACGGGTGCAGCGGAAGCTCCAGCCGGCCCTTGGGGCTGTGTTTACCGGGGTTCGGCAGCGTGAGAAGCCCGTCAGCGGGCCCTCCCGCCTCCCTGTTCAGTGGCTGCTGCCGGGAGGCTGGCGTCGCGGTGAGCGTGGGTGTGGTCTACCCACTGCCCCAGCCGGTGGTTGCTTTTACAGGGTGGTTTTGCAAGATGACACTTATTTAAAATCACAGTGACCTGAGCCATCATTTTTTCATTGAAACGAATTCTTCTTTGTTGTTGAGACGGGGTCTGGCTCTGTCGCCCAGGTAGAGTGCAGTGGTGCCATCGTGGCTCACTGTAGTTCACCTCAGCCTCCCAAATAGCTGGGACCACGGGTATGTGCCACCAAGCCCAGCTATTTTTTTTTTTTTTTTTTTTTTTTGGTAGAGGTGAGATCTCACTTCCAGGCTGGTCTTGAACTCCTGGGCTCAAGCGATCCTCCCACCTCGGCCTCCCAGAATGCTGGGATTACAGGCCGGAGTCACCACACCTGCCCTGAAACCAGTTCTTCTAAGGGAAAATAAGGGGGGTGAAACAGTGTATAGCACAATTTAAATTCTCACTAACTTTTACATTGACTTGTTGAAATTTTCACCCCGTTATGTAGCTTTGTGGCTCCAATGAGATTTTCAAAATAGAAAATGCGTTTATTTAGTTACTGAGGCATAATTTACATGCAGTGAAACACACAGAGCTTGTGTCCAGTTAACTTGTTTTGACAAAGGATTCACCTGCGTAACCCAGACTCCTGTCGTGATGGAGAATCTGCCTGAGACCCGCGGAGGCCGCCTCGCAGGCTGTTCCAGTGCCTGCCTGCCGCGCAGGACCAGAGCGCTGACTCTGAGTGTTAGGAGTCACATGTGTGGGCGGTTTTGCGTCTGCCACGGTTCACACAGAGAACCGTTTTGGAGTTTCCTCTGAGGCGCTGCACGAGGAGCTGCTGTGGGACGCGCTGTTGCGGGCTGGTGGTCCCTGAGGGCGGTCGCGTGGGTTTCCAGTGTCTGAAGACCTTGGGCCTATTTTTGTGCACGTTTGGTGGGCAGGTGGTGTTTTTCTTGGGAACGTGCCCGGGGGAGGCAGCATCCCAGGTGTGGAAGTCCCAGTGGTTCCGTGTGTCGCCACAGTCGAGGGGCTGAGTGCCGTTTGGTGGCAGAGGCTTTAGTTTGCATTTCCCCGATGCTCACCCGTGTCGGGTACTCCACCCACCTGTTGCCATTCGCACACGTTTTCTGAGTGTCCGAGGACGTCTTTTGCCCAATTTTTGAGGACCAGGTTGTGAAAGTCCTTTATATATTCCATATACAGGGCTTTTGTCTGGTACGTGTACTGTGAATATCTCCCATTGTTTGATTTGCCTGCTCATTGTATTACTGATGTTGTAAACTAAGAATAAAATCGTAAGTCCCAGCCGACTGAACGAGCTCCCTCTTGGCCAAGGGGACCCCAGAGAAACCTTCAAAATTGAATTTCCGGCCATAAAAGGATGGGAAGTTGGACACACCTGGTTATACTCGGTTTGGACACAACTGACCAGCATTAGTGTTAAAGTGGTGATCACAAGACTGACAGACTGTGGCAATAAGACGCCAAGTTATAATCAGGACCTACGGCTGTGCCAGGCAAGGATTAAATAACACACACACACCCCGACACACACACTTAAAGAATGAGGCTCCAGTTCCTTTTCTCTAGCAGTTAAGCAGGCACTGGCCTGAGATGAGCGGAATGGAAACAGTGATGGCTCGCTGCCAGGCGCTGACTCCCTGTTTCCCGGCCATAACTACAGCATCACTGTCCGTAACTTCCTGCTGGTAAGACACCGCCGACCACGGACTGGTTCTGAAGGTCCACGGAGGATGTGACTGGCGTGACTTCCAGGCCCCGCCTCACCTTTGGCCATACAGGGCCTCATTGTCTTACATGTAAATGTCTCACCTCTCAGTGAACATGGGTCCTACGTTACACACGTGTTTATCCAGTGCACATGCATTAAGACACGCAGGAGAGAGGAGTGCTTGGGCTCAGGAGTTCAAGACCAGCCTGGGAAACAGCAAGGCACCCTTTTTACCGAAAAATAAAAATAAAATTAGCCAGATGTGGTGGCAGGCATGTAGTCCTAGCTACTTGGGAGGCTGAGGTGGGAGAGTTGCTTGAGCCCAGGAGTTCAAGATGGCAGTGAGCTGCGATCGCACCACTGCACTCCAGCCTGGGCAACAGCAAACCCCTGTCTTTAAAAGAAAGAAAGACATTTTAAAAAGGAAGAAAGGAAAGGAAACTGTTCCCGTTAAACACCAACTCCGCGTTCCTCCCTGCCCCCAGCCCCTGGTAACCACCGTTGTTTTTTCTGTCTCCATGAATTTGACGGACGACCCTGGGAACCTCATGAGTAGAATCATATGGTATTTCTCCTATTGTGATGAGCTGCTTTCACTTAGCAGAGTGTTTTCAAGGTTCATCTTTGTTGTAGCATGCATCCAAACTTTCTTTTCAGGACTATAGAATATTCCACTGTGTGTATAGACCACGTTTGGTTTATCCATTCATCTGTGGGTGGACACTTGCTCCCACCTTTTAGCTGTGGTGAACAATGCTGCTGCAGGCGTGGTGGCCGTGGTGGGCCATGCTGCAGACGTGGTGGCCGTGGTGGGCCGTGCTGCAGGCGTGGTGGCCGTGGTGAACAATGCTGCTGCAGGCGTGGTGGCCGTGGTGGGCCGTGCTGCAGGCGTGGTGGCCGTGGTGGGCCGTGCTGCAGGCGTGGTGGCCGTGGTGAACAATGCTGCTGCAGGCGTGGTGGCCGTGGTGGGCCGTGCTGCAGGCGTGGTGGCCGTGGTGAACAATGCTGCTGCAGGCGTGGTGGCCGTGGTGGGCCATGCTGCAGACGTGGTGGCCGTGGTGGGCCGTGCTGCAGGCATGGTGGCCGCGGTGGGCCATACTGCAGGCGTGGTGGCCGCGGTGGGCCATACTGCAGGCGTAGTGGCCGTGGTGGGCCGTGCTGCAGGCGTGGTGGCCGTGGTGGGCCGTGCTGCAGACGTGGTGGCCGTGGTGAACAGTGCTGCTAAGACATGGTTGTACAAACATCTCTTGGAGTCCTGGTTTTCAGTTCTTTGGGGTGTAGACCCACAGGTAAAGTACCTGGGTCATAGAGTAATTCTGTGTTTAATTCTGTGTGTGTGTTTAGTTTTTGAGAAACTGACATACCGTTTTTCACACCATTTTATATTCTCAGCAGCGTGCACAAGGGTTCCATTCTCTCCGCATGCTTTCGCCAACATTTATTTCTGTTTTTTTGGTAATAGCCATTCTCATGGGTATAGAGTAGTATTTCATTTTGGTTTTGGTTTGCATTTCCCTAATAGTTAGTGACGTTAATCGATACTTTTTAATTGAAGATTTAGCCATTTGTATTTAATGCCGATATTAGAGTGTTTGGGTTGGAGTCCCCCATCTTTATGTTCGATTTTATTTTTCCACCTACTTTTCCCTGCTCCTCCTTTTTCCTTCCTTTTTTGTAGGTGAATTGAGTTGTGTTTTTTAATCCACTTTTATCTCTTCTGCTGACTTTTTAGTTCTGCCTCTTTGTGTTGTTTTTTAAGTGGTTCCTCTGGAGATTAAATATGCACGTTTAGCTTACTGTAATCCATCTTTAAAAATATTCCTGTGCTTCACAGAACCTTAGCGAATAGACTCCAGTTACACTCCGTGCTCTCGTCGGCATACATTTCACTTCTAGGTATGCTGGAAAATTCTACAACACACTTACTATTATTATTTATTTTATTTTATTTGTTTATTTTGAGATGGAGTCTTGCTGTGTCACCCAGGCTGGAGTGCAGTGGTGTGATCTCGGCTCACTGCAACCTCCACCTTCCTGGGTTCATGCCATTGTCCTGCCTCAGCCTCCCAAGTAACTGGGAGTACAGGCGCCCACCACCACGCCCGGCTAATTTTTTTTTTTTTTGTATTTTTAGTAGAGACGGGGTTTCACCGTGTTAGCCAGGATGGTCTTGATCTCCCTACCTCGTGATCCGCCCACCTCAGCCTTCCAAAATGCTGGGATTACAGGCATGAGCCACCGTGCCCGGCCCACACTTATTATTTTTACTTTAGTTAATAGTCTAATATTAAGGGTTTATTTATTTTTTAAATCCAATGTGTTTACTTTTTTTTTTTTTTTTGAGACGTCTTGCTCTGTCATCCAGGCTGGGGTGTGGTGGCGCGATCATGGCTCACTACAGCCTCAACCTCCTGGACTCCAGCGATCCTCCCACCTCCCTCCCGCGTAGCTGGGATCACAGGCGAGCGCCAGCGTCTGGCTGATTTCTGTAAGGGTTTCGCCGTGTTGCCCAGGCTGGTCTCAAAACTCCTGCCTTTGATCCTCCAGCCTCAGCCTTCCAAAGTGCTGGAATTCCAAGTGTGAGCCACTGCTCCTGGCCTTTACTTCTTAAATTGAGGATTTCTATACAATTTTACGGTAGTTGGCCAGACATGCTGAACATATTTGCTGAACGTTGCAGTTGAAAACTGTCAGACACCAGTTTACTCTGGAGTCAGAGGGCCTGGCCTGGGCCTATCCGTGCCGCCTACTCACCGTGTGGTCTTGTTCAAGTCTTTTCCTTATCTTTAAAGTGGGGCGATAAGAGGCATCGTTGACATTAGTGAAGACAGATCCCTTTGCGTGGGGTCTGGCACGTGGCAGGTGCTCTGTAAGTGTTGATTGCTGCTGTTGTTGGACAGTGAACAGGTTTACATCCCTTGGAGACCCAGGATCTGTAGCACAAAGAGACTCGTCCTTTCAGCCCGTGCTCTCCACGTTCTGTGCTGCCAAAGTTTTTTTGTCTCCTTTGAGACAGGGCCTCGCTCTGTTGCGCAGGATGGAGTGCAGGTGCATTCCTGGCTCGACCAGCTTGAATGCACCTGCACTGTGGCTTCGAACTCCTGGCCTGAAGCAGTCCCCTCGCATCAGCCTCCCAGGCAGCTGATATTCCAGGTGTGAGCCATCGTGTCCAGACCGCAGGCTTGTTATTGCCCAGAGCTGAGCCCCTGGGAAGCAACACCAGTGCCCACCGTCTGGAAACTTTTGGTTTCTGGATACAGAAAGCCATACGATGGGGTTCTTCTTCCAGTGTGAAAGAATAAACTTCTAACAGAGTGACCCTGCCGTGGCGCAACTATAACCCTGGACAGAGTATGAGAAACAGCTCCCTGAGGGCTGTGGAGAGGGGCAAATTTTGGAGGCAAGTTTAGACTTGAAGGAAGCAGCCAGCACAGTTTCCTGTTTTTGCATCTTTGCCCTGAGGGCAGCCACAGTCCCCACATGATAGTGTGAGGTGACTAAGGCACTGACAGAAAGTCTGCTATCTCGGCCTGGCGCAGTGGCTCATGCCTGTAATCCCAACACTTCAGGAGACTGAGGCAGGCGGATCGTGAGGTCAGGAGTTGGAGACCAGCCTGGCCAACATGGTGAAACCCCGTCTCTACTAAAAATACAAAACATTGGCCAGGCGTGGTGGCGGGCTCCTGTAATCCCAGCTACTCATGAGGCTGAGGCCGGAGAATCGCGTGAGCCTGGGAGGCAGAGGCTTCAGTGAGCTGAGATCTTGCCACCACACTCCAGCCTGGGTGACAGAGCGAGACTCTGTCTCAAAAAAAAAAAAAGTAAAAACTACTATCTGGCCAGGCAGCTCACTCCTGTAATCCCAGGATTTTGGGAGGCTGAGACGGGAGAATTACTTGAGGCCAGGTGTTCAGGACCAGCCTGGGCAACACGGTGTCTACAAAAGACTAGAACATTACCTGATTCCCAACTATTCAGGAGGCCGGGGTGAGAGGATCGCCGCCACTGCATTCCTGCCCGGGCAACAAGGCAGAGTGTGTCTCCGAAAAACAAACAAACAAAAAAGAAAGTACGCTGCCTTCCTCGTTCCAGGAGCAGGCAGGGGAAGGAGCGAGGCACGCACAGCCACTCGAAAATGAGGGTAGAAGCCCCAGAAGGAATCAGAGAGGAGGAGTCCTGTGTGTAGATGCCACTCGTTTCTGGCAAACCCCTGACCCCTGCATGCACCCCGTGCCATGCAGTGACCTGAGCCACTGCTCACCGTAGGTGTAACAGCGTTTGCAGTTTGAATCTAATGAAATTAATTGCCTGCTAAGTAGAAACATGGATTCTCTTCAGAGGAATATCTCAGAATCCGGTGTCTCCACAATGTGACGTTTGCAATGGGTGGGATGCAGTTCAAACTAACATATGAAGAGCTGGGAAAATGTGCGCCCTTCTCGAAGGGAAAGACGACAGATATGAATCGTGCCCTGACCTAGCTGCTGGGGTCATCAGAAAAGCACTTTGGAGCAGGCTTAGGGACTGTGCTCAGTGAAGAAAGGGGAAATGCACGCAGAATGAACAAAGTGCCGGAAATCTCAGCAGAGGAAACATGTTTAAATGAGCCAAATGGGAATTTTAGGTTAAACAAATACAAGATCTGGCTGGGCGTGGTAGCTCACACCTGTAATCCCAGCACTTTGGGAGGCCGAGGCAAAGAATCCTTGAGCCCAGGAGGCGGAGGTTGCAGTGAGCCGAGACTGTGCCACTGCACTCCAGCCTGGGGACAAGAGCGAAACTGTCTCAAAAACAAAAACAACAACAAACAAAAAAACCAAGATCTGAAATTTTATTTTGTTTATTTTATTTATTTATTTATTTATTTATTTTATTTTTTTTTGAGACAGGGTCTTACTCTGTCACCCAGGCTGGAGTGCAGTGGTGTGATCTCGGCTCACTGCAACTTCCGCCTCCCGGGTTCAAGTGATTCTCCTGCCTCAGCTTCCTGAGTAGCTGGGACTATAGGCACTTGCCACCACGGCCGGCGATTTTTTCTTTTTTTAAGTAGAGAGGGGGTTCACTATGTTGGCCAGGCTTGTCTCAAACTCCTGACATCAGGTGATCCACCTGCCTCAGCCTCCCAAAGTGCTGGGATTACAGGTGTGAGCCACTGCACCCAGCCAAGAGCTGAAGTTTTAAAATTCACCAAATGAATATAACAGAAGGGAAATAACAGAGAAAATAGGCAGAGTCCTCAAAGACAGAGGAATAGAAATTGTCCAATCTGTGAAAAAAAAAAAAAAGAGAGAGAGGGTGGAAGTGATTGGAGGAAAAAAACAAAACAAAACCATGAACAGAGCCTCAGGGACCTGTAGGGCAATATCGATGAAATGTCTAACACTTCAGGGACCTGTAGGGAGATATGGACATGTCTTAACATGCAGGTAATTACAGAAGTCCAGGAGAGGAGAGGCACAGCTGACAGAAGAAATACTTGAAGAAACAGTAACCAGAAACTTTCAAATTTGGTGAAAGACATAAGTTTATAGTTTTAAGAATCTCAAACAGTATAAATGTGAATAAAACCATACCTGGACCTATCACTTCAAAATTTTTTTTTTTTTTTTTTGAGATGGAGTTTTGCTCTCGTCGCCCAGGCTGGAGTGCAGTGGTGCGATCTCGGCTCACTGCAACCTCCACCTCCCGGTTCAAGTGATTCTCCTGCCTCAGCCTCCCGTATAGCTGGGACTACAGGCCCACACCACCACACCCAATTAATTTTTGTATTTTTAGTAGATAACGGGGTTTCTCCTTGTTGGCCAGGCTAGTCTCGAACTCCTGACCTCAGGTGATCCACCTGCTTTGGCCTCCCAAAGTGCTGGGATTACAGGTGTGAGCCACCATGCCCAGCCCCAAAACAATTAAAAACTAAAGATTAACTTTTAAAATATTGAAAGCAGCCAGAGAAAAATAACAGATCACACACAGCACAGCACTGTCAAGACTGTGAGCTGATTGATAAACCGTGAGCTGACAGACCCTGGGCCGACAGAGCCTGATCCTACAGAGCCTGGGCGGACAGAGCCTGAGCCGACAGAGCCTGAGCCGACAGAGCCTGGGCGGACAGAGCCTGGGCCGATAGACCCTGAGCCGACAGAGCCTGAGCCGACAGAGCCTGGGCGGACAGAGCCTGGGCCGACAGAGCCTGGGCGGACAGAGCCTGGGCCGATAGA